GTTTCCAGCCCCTTGTAGTTTGTCTCATTTCCCTTCTTTCAGGTAAACTTAGTCTACATTCACTGATCCTAAATAGTCTATAGGCATTTGAATAAAAATTGTATTTGTTGTCTGTAGGATGTACATTTCATCATTGGTGAACTGCACATCTTCATGGCTTGTGAACCTGTTATGCTTTTATATTTTCATTTTGTTCGCTTAAGCTAAGTGCATAGTACTCATCCTGGATCTCTCAGTCAAAATGTCAGAAATGTTTTATTTTCATTTCTAGTGGTGTTTTCTTTTTCCTATGAATGTAGCAATATCACTTTCTGTGTAACTCCTCCAGGTCTATTTTACCGACATGACGTCACCTTTGCCACAGTTGATGTTTCCCCCTTAACAAACAACATGATGTCATAATTGTCACAGTTGATGTTTCCCTCTGTAACCTCATTAATGACATCCATACAGTCACTTGCCCTTCTTTCCATGGAAATCCACAGAAGCAGAACCCTCTGTGCTCAAGAGACACAAGAGAACAAAACAGATACAAATCTTCAGCCTCGGGGAGATTTCTCTCTAGGTAGAGGAAAAAAAGTACCATTTTCACAATGGGAGTGGAGGGTCGTGTAGTGCTCCAGACTGATAAGTAAATGCTATCTGGGGAGTGCTGGGAGCAAGGTTGGGATGTAGATTTCAGGTCCTTTCTCAGGAAAGAATTTACTGGCAAGGTGACATTTAGCACGGGGCTAAGGGGAGGTGGGGTTGGGTCCTGCTGCTATCTAGGGAGAAAGCAGCTTACTCCAAGGCCCTGAGGCCAGCCTGTGCCTGGTGAACTGCAGACTTCTTGAAGCAGCTTGTGAAGCGAGGGCTAGGTCAGCCAGGAGGAGGGCTGTTGGTCTGTGTTCTGAGTGAGGAAGTTGAGGAGACCTATTCTGCTTCTTCTTCCTTCTCTGTTGATGCACTTTGTCAAATAAAAGTAAAGCCTCACAAATTATGAACCTGTTTCCATCACTCAATAACCTTGACTATATCATTTTTAAAAAGCATCTGTGTTTGGGTGTAGTGTGTATTGTATGTACATACGCGTGTTCATTTGCATGAATACTCATGCAGGGGTGGTGCTTGTGTGCTGTAGCATGCATGTGATGTGGAGGTCCGAGGTCAATTTCTGGTGTTGGTCATCATTTTTCAGTTTGTCTGAGACAGATTCTGGTTCATTGCTGGGTATATCTAGCTACGTGACCTCTGAGCTTCTAGGAAGGTAGGGTTACAGATGCAGGGTTCAGTTTTATGTGGGTACTAGGGCTCCTAACCCCATCCTCTTGATTGACAGGCAAGTTCTTTGTCCTTTGAGCTATCTGAGCTGCTGTCATTTCTTCTTTCTTTGTTCTGGTTTGTTTGTTTATTTTAAGACAGGATTTCTTTGTGTGGCCTTAGCTGTCCTGGAACTAGCTCTGTAGACCAGGCTGGCCTTGAACTCACTGAGATCTGTCAGTCTCTGTCTCCCAAGTGCTGAGATTAAAGGTATGCACCACCACCAGCCAGCTCCAGACATCATTTCTTACAACTTCGTGTGATCCATTCTGTAGATCTGCCTCCATCAGACAGTCATTTCTTCTAAGGCAGGAAATGCATATCTATAAAAAAAAAAACCTCACAACAACAAGTTGGCAATAAGCTCAACTCTTATGTGTATACACTTTTAATTATGTCCTAATAAATCTGCAAGACTGAAATTGATGGCTCTGAGAATGTAGGTGTCAATAAAATGTTTGCTAATACATCCTGTATTTTTAAAAGAAGATCTCCATCTGATGAATGCATGTCAGTATTATTTCATCCTTACATGTCAGCTCTTAGGAATGTGTATGTCAAACACTCAACCCAAGGACTGTACACATTCTGTAGTTCCAATTATGCTAAGCCATTTGCAGATTGCTATTTGTTTATCAGGGTTTGTATTTTTTTTCTCATTGATTCCTAAGAACTTTTCATAAGGGATGTCGTTCAGTGTAGAGCACTTGCCCAGCAAGCACAAAGGCCTGGGTTTTGTCTCCAGCACTGCAGAGAAAAACAACTCTCAATAATGAGGATATGAATGTTTCCCCAACGTGTATGTTATGAAATTCTACCCATTCATGTAAAATGCCATTTTTCTTCATATTTTTTTCTTAGTGTGCAACTCTAACCTAATATGATAAATATCAAGGCGGCGGGCAAAGACATTATCCCACCCCGTTCTCTAATTCCCTAATTGTCTGAATTACCCATCCTGTGTTCACTGTCTCCAGTGAATTTTGAAGTTCAGTGATTGGAGTTTTCTTCTAAAACAATCTTTCCTAATTTCAGATTGTTCCCTTTTTGTCTCTCTTGACTCTCACTGAAAACATGAACTAGACATTTTACAGGACTTTCCTCCCGCAGCTGTTCTCCTGGGTTGTCTGATCTACGGCATCCATGTTTCTTTCATTGGATGGCTGGGTTTCATGTGCCACCTTTATCTTTTCTCATAGAACGATGAGCACAGAGGTGATGTGTGTCCATTTCCTAGTCCCTCAGATCCAGACAAGAGAGTCAGGAGCCTTTTGTAATCTCATGCATACCAGATATCCTGTAGGGGACCACAGGTAGAGATGGCTACACAGGCAAGAGTCCCTCATGAGGGAGAGGTGTCCTCCTTTACACACTGTAAAGTTCTGTGCACATTGTGAACCTGGAGAGGGTCCCTGTTCTTTTCTTCTAGGGTACAGCGTCCTTTCCTGAGCTCAGCAGAAGTGCATATAGTCTGGGTCTGTCCTTCCTACACTTCTTATGGCAGGCCTGCTCCAAGAGCTGGTTCCTCCCCAGCCTCCTGGATGTGGGGGATGGGACCCTCACTTACACCTTGCTCATCTGATCCAGGCTTGTCAGTGGCTGAGGTTTTCACTACCTATGAAAGCTAACGAACTGTATTTTCTGAAGTGTGAGACTCATCATGACTTTGGATGCTAATAGTCAGAGTGTGATTGTCCACGTCTCTTCTTAGTACTGTGTAGGGAAGGTCCTGAGGGTAGGTGCCTAAGATGCTGGAACACTCACCCTTTGCTGGTTCCATCTGGAAGGGGAAAGCCTTGTGCTAGATGATGGGAGTGCTGCACCTCTTTAGACTAAACCCACTCAACAGAACGACTTAAAGGCTGAAAATATATTTTGGCTCACAGTTTCAGAAATTTAAGTCTGTAGTTGGGTTGGTCTCATGTGCTTAAGCTAAGCGTCACAATGGGAGCACAAGGAGGAACCAGCTCTCTCTCTCTCTCTCTCTCTCTCTCTCTCTCTCTCTCTCTGTGTGTGTGTGTGTGTGTGTGTGTGTGTGTACCTCAATCGTTTTCTACCTTGTGTTTTGAGACAGGCTCTCTCTTTGAACCTGGAGCTCACCAGTTAGCTAAGAATCCTTGAGATCCTTCTGTTTCTAATCCAGGGCTTTGATTAGAGGGCTCCAGCTCCTTTCTTTGGTGCTGAGGATTTGAACTCAGGTTCTTATGCTCACATACGAAGCACATCAAAGAAAGTCACATCTTTCTTTTTTAACAGTCATTTTACTCCAAGGACGTGACTGGATTTATCTTAAAGAAATAGATGGAATCTCTCTCTCTCTCTCTCTCTCTCTCTCTCTCTCTCTCTCTCTCTTTCTCTCTCCCCACTCCACCTTCTTGTTTAATTTTCTGAGTCAACAGGTAAATCTAGATCCTCGTATATGTTAACTTTCACCTTCAAGCCAGATAATGGACTTTAAATGTGAACTTACTGTTATTTTTGAGAACTCCAATTATTTTCATGAAAAAACACTAAGTCAAAATAACGTGCAGATTTGGCAGCACTCACATGAAGCTTATGAATGGCGAAGCTTGCCGCACAGCACAAGGTATTCTTTCATGATCACGTCACCTGTAGAAGTTCCTGGGGTTTTGTATCTTTTAGAACTTTGGGGGAGTGAACTGAGCATCCAGTATGAGGCTCAGAGGCTTGAATTGCTGCCTCTGGTTCGTCTATCCCTTCATATGGACACTGCTTAAGATGTGTGATTGAGAAAAAAATTGAGATTAAGATTCCATGTGAATATATCATACATGCTAATTTTTAGGGAGACCTGCCAGGGCGGGGGAGTTTGGGAGCTTCGCCCTCACCTTTGAAGATGTTGCCATTCCTCCTCATTTTTTATTTTTAAATTTTATTACCTGTGGTCAATATCCTAGTGGTCAAAACAAACGCTCCCATGGATATTATGACCAATGGTACTGTTAATGATGACAACCCTGATGGTGTTGATTGAGGATTTGCCAACTGCCTGGTGCTGCATTTGTTTCCCACACACACCGCCTTTCAGTTCTATGCAGAAAGGACTTCCATTCCAACATGCAGATAAAAATACGAGGCTCGGATGGACTTTGCATCCAAGGTTATCCAAAAGAGTAAAGAGGCGAGGTGGGACCTCAGCAATGCCAAGACTTGAAAGCACACCCACAGGGACACTGTTGCTTCAGAAGCCAAAAACAGAGCCCCGACAGCCTCTGAGGGAGAAAGCCTGTGAGATCTGTGATCCTGTATGGAAGGGAGCAGACAGGGGACAGGGGAGAAAAGAGAGCAGAGAGTCTTGCTAGCATGACTCAGCAGAGAGCCGTGCTCTGTGAATGCTATAGCTCGCAGAGCTGTGTGTGTGTGCCAGGGTGGTGCATGTCTGCCACAGCCCACGTGCTGAAGTCCTCAGCTTCCACCTTGTTTGAGGCAGTGTGTGTTGCTCAATGCTATGTACACAGGCCAGCTGACTGCTGAGTTGTTTCTGGAGGGTCCCTTGTGTCGGCATTACTATGCCCAGCTTTATGTGCATTACCGGGATTTGAACTCGAGTTTCATGACAAGCACTTTACCCTACTGAGCCATCTCCCCAGCCCTCAACATAGGTTTTGAGGTAGACTTCCTGCTCAGTTTGATGCTGTTACACAGTCATGGACTTATCCCAATCGCTTGTCTCTCCCTAGGTTCAAGTTACTAAGCCAGGAAGAAGGCGAGTACTTCAATGTGCCCGTACCGCCGGAAGGAAGTGAGGGCAATGAGGAACTGCGGCAGAAGTTTGAGGTGAGGTTTTTGTTCTTCCATGGTTTCTATGGGAACCAGATACACCATATCACTGTGATCTTTTTATCCAGTCCATGGCACCAGATCTTTCATGACTCTGAGCCTTTGCAGTGCTGTTCCAGCTCCCAAAAACCTCCTACTTTGAGAACTTCTGTCTTCTTTGTGCTGGTTCAGACTTAGTTATTTCTTCTCAAGTGTTCATTCCATGCCCAGGTCTCTGTGATGCTGATCTGGACTGGTATGATAATAATGGGAGTAGAAAAGTGGACAAGGTAGAGATATATTTTGCTTGAATTCTGAATTTGGGTCTATTGTGGGTCTGTACTGTTCTCAAGTAGACGGACTACTGGTGACTCTACAGTAACTCCTGTGGGCAAATCCTCACAAATAATCATTTTGTCCAACCCATGAGGTTGGGTGTGACCTTGGACTCTACTGCTGTTTGTTCCTACTTCAGATAACTTCCTTTTCTGTCTTTGGGACTAGGGCCCCTGTCATAGTTAGGGTTTCATTGATGTGAAGGGACAACATGGCCAAGGTAAACAGTTTCAGAGGTTCAGCCTATTATCATCATGGTGGGAAGTATGATAGCATGTAGGCAGACATGGTCCTGGAGGGATGGAGAGTTCCACATCTTGATTCTTGGGCAGCAGAAAGGGACTGTCTCCCACAGGAAGCCAGGAGGAGACTATCTTGGGTGGAGCTTGAGCATATATATGACCTCAAAGCCTGCCTCCACAGTGACACACTTCCTCCAACAATGCCACACCTCCTAACAGTGCCACTCCCCATGGGCCAAGCATGTTCAAACACATGAGTCTGTGGGGGGGAACCAAACCTATTCAAAGCACCACAGCTCCCTATTGCCCTCTATTGTGAGGTAGCAGGTATGCAGACACCTGACAGTCTTGCAAAGGGAGCTATTTGGGGGAAGGTGGGTGTGACTATACATGGCAGATGTGCATCACGTGACTTGAAAGTATTTCCATGTGGGAAACACAGTGCCCAGTAGCTATATGAGCCTGTAAGAAGGCCAGTGAGGAGAGTGTGGAGGTCAAGGGATGAGTTCCAGGCGAGTTTGGGGAAGATGGTGAGCTCAGAGTATCTGACTGCAATGGCTTTGAGTAAGGTTGGCATTTACCCCAAGAAGCATGTTAACTTCCTACCCTCAACCAGACACACAGTACTTGAGTACCCATGGGCTCTTGTCTTGAGCCTGGATCCTCCACATAGTCTGGACAGTGGTAATGCTATGATGCTGTGGGGTCTCTGTGGACATGAGTGGGATAAACACATTGGCCTTGGGGTTGCCAATCATCCTCCCTCCGCTGCCATAGTTTGAATCTGAAGTGTTCTCACAGGCTTAGGCTTTGAACGCGTAGTACCAGGTGGTAGCTCTGTTTTGAGAAGTTCTAGAAACTTCAGCTGCTGGAGGAATTAGGTCCTTGTAGCTGTCTTGTTCCTTGCTAGGGTCTTCCTGTCTTCTCTCTGGTTCATGTTCACCGTGATGTGAACAGTTGTTCCTGCCACACACTCCCACCACTGTGATGTTCTGCCCAAGTGCACAGGGCTAGGAGACTGTGAACAGATCCTTCTGGAACTGGGAGCCAAATGCATTGTTTCTCCTTTGAGTCATGTCTATCAGGTGTTTGCCTCAGGGACAAAGTGACTGACATATACAATGACCTTGGTCATTGAACATCATTTTCTTGGTGGCTGAGTAATCCGGAATAACTTGATAAAAAGAACCTTCTTCCCACCACACAGAGTTGTGAATTGGGTATTTTCAGCAAAGAACTGGAAAGCAAGTCTTCCAGAGAAATCTTTCTGGGCTGGCAGTATCTGCTGGCTGGAGCTGTTATGATTATGGGTGACAAAAACAAAACAAAACAAAAATACAAGGCTGGCATTCTCTTGTAGAAAATGAAGCTTCAGCTTCGCAAAATAATTTCTTCTGTCCTGGGGCAGCAGGGGTGACATTTCCAAGCACCAAAGAAAACATTCTCTATACGCGTGCGAATAGAGCATTTGTCTGAGACAGTAATTGGCTTGAAGTACAGGGCTGTTTTATCTGCATGCAACAAAATATGTCCCTTTATCCCTAGCAGGAGCCTGCAAATACTTGTTTACAGCTGAGTTATAATCGCACTATACCATAGTTGTTGATTAAAAAAAAAAAAAAAAGAGCTTCCAACAGACTGAAATGGCTGTCAGACGCAAGCAGGGATTTTACTTGACCTTGAACATGAGAAATGTAATCCCCGCACAGTAAGCAATTAGAACCCAGGATGAGTCAGGAATTACCTTCAAGCTTCTTATCAGGAACAACTCTGAGTGATGTGTGACAGGTTACAGGGGCTTCCAGAATTGGGGTGACAGTGTACTTTGGTGGGGTGCCCTGGGTGCAATGGGAAGACAGTTCAGAATATCCTCTGGAGGGTGTCCCCTGCCCCTGGCCTTGTCTGTGGGCTGGGGAAGAAACTATAATTTGGGTGGTTCAGAGTGAGTCGCCCAGCAGACTAAGGATTCTCTTACTTAACAAAATGCTCATGACACAGTGTGTTGCTCTGAGTACCTTGCTTGTCACACCTCTGAAGGCAACACTGGGACCACTCTCAGCTATTCTTTTTCAGAAGAAGAAACTGAGGCCCAAGAAGGAACTTTCCAGGATACCAGGATTTGAGTTTTCTAGGATTAAATGATAAGGGCCCAAAGCCTGGTTTAAAGGTACTTTTCTTTTTTTTTTTGGTTTGGTTTTTCGAGACAGGGTTTCTCTGTGTAGCCCTGGCTGTCCTGGAACTCACTCTGTAGACCAGGTTAGCCTCGAACTCTCAAACTCAGAAATCCACCTGCCTCTGCCTCCCAAGTGCTGGGATTAAAGGCGTGCGCCACCACCGCCCGGCTTAAAGGTACTTTTCTATTTCCAGTACTTGGGAGGCCGAGGCAGGAGGATAGAGTTAGCAACAAGCCTGGGCTACACGGTGAGGCCCTATGTCAAAATCACGTCAGTCAAGTGATAATAGTCGATTTGGGAACTGGCCCCTGCCAGCCTTGTCAGGAGCAGGTGATGAAGAAGGGAAGGGTGGGGTTAAGGACAGTGTCCCTCCTTTATGCCAATGACAGATTGGTTCCAGAACCCTGTCCCCAGCAGATATCCAAATCTGGAGACACACAGAATGCCACTCTGTGTGTGTGTGTGTGTGTGTGTGTGTGTCCTCCCATGTACTTTAAACCAATTCAGATGCCTCAGAATGTACATCACATTGCAATGGCCTCTAAATGGCCAGTACTGTATTGTTTGGGAATCAAAGGCAAGGGGTCCTCTGTGCATGTTGAGTATGGGGAGATTTCCCCTCAACGTTTTGTTCCTGTGGCTGTGTGAATCTGCTGCTACTGGCAGTGACTGTCAGATCAAGCTGCTGCTGCTACAAGCAGCTAGACTTGCTCATTCTCCCCCCAACCCTCTAATAAAAGAAAACTATTGGACTTTCCTTGCTAAGTATCCCTGCCCAGGGACAGGAGCTTGGGCCTTACTCTTCACTCACTAGGGGAGGTATCTACCCCTAATGAGATGAGTGAGGAGGGGGGTGGGCAGCAGCCCAAAGCTTTCAACTCTGTAACATCTGTAACACAGGGATTCTGACACTATGGAAAGATTACATGAGGAATGAATGACATCATGCCTCTAGAAGCACCTGGTGCATCATAAGCATTCAGGTGTCGAATACTGGTAATGGTGTTGCCAGATCCTCCCTGGGAATCAGCCAAGCTCAGCACATCCTCCTGGGGTAGTTGGGAGCCTCTCCAGACACCTCATGCTTCCTGGCTTTGTGAGGTAGCTGGGAGTACACTTGGAGGGGTGGGGTACAAAGGGGCCTGAAGTTAGAACAGGTGTTAATCATCATAGACAGAACTTGGAGCCTTTGTGGTTCGCTAGGACATAATGCAAGTGACACACTCCACTTGGAAGGAATGGCCTTCTACTTCCATCCTGCACAGGCTTCACTGGTTCCAAATTGGAAACTTGAAAGACAGCCACTGGTGGATGGTTGTTTCTTCTGTGACTTTCATTTAGCATTGCTTTCTCTTTGATGCAGGACCTGTGAGGCACCTGCAACTCTGGGATCTGTAGAGAGATGTGTGATAGGTTCTTGTCCTCAGAAGGCTCACAGGGTAAGGGGAACAGCTCCCCCCGCCCCATGCTTTCAGGAACCATGTAGATAATAAGGAGGAAGCCCACTCAGTAGAATGTTGCCAGGCTTTCTTCTAAAGAGAAAGCCTCTTGCTTAGAAGAGGCTGGGAGTCTGGTTTTGTAGTTTTGGTTTTAGCAGTAAAGAGAGAGCACAGGGCTTCGAGCATGTCGGGAAAGTGCTCAACTACTGAGCCTCACTTCCATCCCAAGTCTAGATCTTTATAAGGCTTCTGGTGATCTTCAACAGTTGGCATCTGATTTAAATATTAAAGTAACAGTAAATGTTGGGCAGAATAGACTTTTTATTTAGATTCTAGATACTGAACTAATAGGCTGTTTCTGTAACCAAGTACTGAAGGTAGGTAATTTAAAATAAAGGGTTACACACACACACACACACACACACACATTCAGACACTTTGGAGGCTTAAAGGCTGGATGGTCCTATCAGTGTGACCTCTGATGAGAACCACCTTGTCTGGGTCCGACCATTAAAAAAAAAAACAGAAAAAGAAATGGATGCATGCAGAAGAGGCTCAGCACACAGGTGACTGCTTTCTAAAAGCTGCTTTGGGGAGAAAGAACTCCATGACACCAGCATCATTTTTCCCCCAAGGGTGGCATCCTGGCATCCCAGGCACACATACTTCCCTCTAGGTCCCACCTCTTAAAGGTTACATTGCCTCTCATGTCTTACTGTGGACCAAGACTCCAGCACAGGAACCTTAACTAAACCACAGCACACAAACACAGGACCACCCCTCTCCCCAAATATTTATAAAACCTGATTATTTGGGGGTCTGGAGAGATGGCTCAATGATTAAGAATACTGGTTGCTCTTTCAGAGGACACGGTTCAAATTTCAGGACACCCTTATGTGTCTCACAACTGTTTGTAACTCTTATTCCAGAGGATCTGATGCCCTCTTCCAGCCTCCACAGGCACTGCATGCACACAGTGCACTGAGACATGTGCAGATAAAACACGCATGCATATAAAATAAAAATCAAGTAAAAGGGGGGAAAGCCCAATTTCAGTCAATTGCAGCACATCCAAGGGGACAAAGCAAGAGCTCTCCCCTTTCGTTTCAATGGGGATCATGTTCTAGGAACTCCCAGGGGATGTGCATGCGCACAACGGCTGGGCAGAAGTTGGGAGAGAAGCAAGAAGTCCAAAGTATCCTAAGTCAGCTACCAAGTAATAGGAGACACAGCGACAAAGCAATGAGACAGGGAAGGAGGCTTGTATCAGTCAGGTAAAGCCCAGGAGGCTAGAGGGAGGATTCAGGCTGGCATGAGGATGTGGTCCAAGAAAGACATGCAGCCCTTGTCCAGGCTCCTTTCTTAGGTGAAGTCTCCACCCAGATGAGATGGTCTCAAGTCTGACTCATCTCCCCCTTTCACTGGGACACCATGCCCCTGTCTCTCAAATGTTTTTGCCCTTAACCCATGTGTGTTTTGTGTTGAGTGTCTTAGGCTTAAATATTAACTTACTACCAAGCAACTAGTTTGAAGACTGGGCCAATTGCTTCATTGGTAGCCTCAAATGGCACTTACACCAACCAACAGGAGAAAGATCAATGAATTCTCAGCAACCCAGTGAGGATTTCCTGGTTTGTACAACCCTGTATAGGGGTTTCAAGAACATTCTGTTGAGAGGAGGGAGGAGGACGTGAAAGGGTTTATGTACTTTGATTCTATTTGGATGAAATTCAAGAATAGAGAAATCTGACCTATAAGAATAGAAACCAGAGCAAAGGTTGCCTTCGTTGGTGGTGAGAGGTCAGCTGCAAATCTCCTTGGGGAGTTGGACTTGTTCTGTATCTTGTTTGAGGCATGGGTAAGTGTTTACTGTCAAAATCCACAGAAGGATGCACTTAAGATCTGTTCATTTTACTGCTTAGATCTCAATTTTTTTATCTATTTTTATTTATTTGTGTATGGGTGCATGTGTGTGCTGGTCCAGGTGTTTCTTTGTACCCATGGAAGCCAGAAGACAGCTTTAAGTGTCCTTCCTCAGACACCATCCACCTTTATTTTGAGACAGGGTCACTCAGTGGCCTGGAACTCACAGAGTAGGCTAAGCTGCTGTCCAGTGAGCTCCAGGGAACCATCCTCCTGTCTCCACCTCCCAGCACTGAGATCACCAGCATGTCTCACCATGCCCAGCTTTTGATTAATGTCAATTCTGAGGCAGGAACTCAGATCTGTGTGTTCGCAAGGCAAACATCTTACCAACTGAGCTATCTCTCAAGGTCCCAACTTCAATGTTTTGAGACACTAATTAAGAAGACGGAAAGTGCTGGGAGCTCTGCAGTCTAGTTCACTGAATGTCAGTAGTGGCATATGTAGTGCACGAGGAGGAAACAAATCCGATATGGCCTTTGTGTGGAAGGAGCATGGCTCCCCACACCCTAAAATCAACTTCTCAGCTCCTCTGTCTGCTCACCCAACCCTCAAAGGTACTTCTCCCATGGGTGGAAAGACCTGCAGGTACCCAGTGGCTCAGAATGAAACCTCTCTTTTTCTGCTTTCCCACAGTGACAGAGTCCATGTCCTACACTGAAAACACATGAATCCAGCACAGTCCTCACAAGTGCCATCTTGTAACTACAGCTCCTTGTTCATGGCCTCCAAACTTAACAGCCATCAACCAGGTTGACCTTCTGAGTGGGCTGGCACTGTGTTTTTTTTGATAAACCTTTTAGAGGCAGCAAGGCATGCTCAGAAACAGCCAGGACACCTTGATGCAGTTGGCGAGGTCCTAGTAGCCCGATGGTTCTGTCTCTGAACCTCTGCCTGGCCCTTGAGCTCCACACAGCTGGGTCAGCGATTACTTCACACCGTGTGCTTGGATTTCTCACCTGCAAGTGTTGCTCTGTTGCCAATACAGATTCTTTGCCTGGGTTGAAGCTGACACAGTTCTTGGAATGCAGCATGGAGGATGCAGACCCTGCACAATGTGCCTTCTTTGAGCATCAGTATCTCTTTTGCTTCCTGATCTACCCTGAGCACCTACAGCAGGGCAAGGTGTATAACAGACACCCAGTGGGAGCTCCTTGGTCAGATGAGTCAACTTCATTGGCATTCAGAACCTCAGAAAGGGGTTGATAGGGGAACAGCTCAGTTCCTAAAGCGCCTGTGCAACCACAAGACCCTGGGTTTGACTCTCCACAAAGTCATGTAAAGCCAGGTGTGCTTATTACATGCATTTGTAATCCCAGTGTTTCCATGGAGAGATGAGGGGCGGAGACAGCACACTCCCTAGTCTCCTAACTAACTCAAGAACCAGCCAGCCTGGTGCACATGGTGGCAAATGATAAGAGTGGTGTCGCCTCAGACAAAGTGGAAGATGAGGACTAACACCCAAGGTTGCCCTCTTACCTCCGCTTGTGTACTATGCCAGGCACATATATACTCACACCCACACTTACCACCCCCTCTCTAACACACACACACCCACTCACCACCACCACCACCACCACATACACAGAGTGAGAGATCGATCGAGGGAGGGAGGGATGGGGAGAGGGAGGGAGAGAGAGAGGGAGAGAGAGAAGGAGGAAGAGAGAGAGTCAGAGAAAGAAATGAAATAAGGAAACAATGATAACGGTGGACATTTACTGGGGTCTGCCCACAAAGAACGTTTGGCACTGTCACCCTCACCTTGCAGAGGACAGAGGTACAGAAGGGTTCATTTGTCAACTGTGCTGTCCTATTCCACATACTCATCCAGATACCAGAGAATCAGTAAAAACGAAACCGGCAAAGCCCCTGCCCTCCGGAAGCTTACATTTCAGTGGGGAAGGAGAACAAAAATCATGAAATAAGTCTGTGAAGAAAGCAAAGCAAGTGAGGACAGAAATTACTAGCATCTGTTTATGTCTAGCAACTGGGAAGGGCTCTTATAGAGGCTTTAGGGGAGCGAGTGCTTACTCTGCAACAAATGCAAGACACAGCATTTTTGGCAGCAGGTGACTCAGTTGTATGAGACACTTCCTATTGGCTACTGTGAAGACTTGTAGGGAAGGAACCAATGTGGACCATCTAGGTGACAGATGGCTACTAACAGGCAGTGCTGATGGAGAGGGAAATAAGTCAATGAATTCCAGAGCCCACAAGAAGGGGGACATGACAACTTTTGGACAAGAATGCAGTTCGAGGGATAAAGAGAGAAACAGGGGCTCAGGATGGCCTCAACCTTGAACATTTGCAGAATGATGTACAGTCATACATTGCACAGGATGGGTGCCTGGCTTGTAGGAGCCACAGCATCTGCTGAGTCCATAAGTCTTTCTACCAGAGTGTCCCCAGCCCTCATCCTGTGTTCTCTTTTTCCTCCAGAGAGCCAAGATTGGCCAAGGTACCAAGGCTCCAGAAGAAAAGACAGCTAACACTATCTCCAAATTTGACAACAATGGCAACAGGGACCGGATGAAACTGACTGATTTTAACTTCCTGATGGTGCTGGGGAAAGGCAGTTTTGGCAAGGTACAGTATGACTTGGTGGCTGCATCCACTTTGGATGGAACAGCTGTTCCTATGGTGGGGAAAGAGGGACATAAATAAACTTAGATTGTAGCCTGCGCAGAATGTCATGAAGCAGATGGATAGTTCATGTTGCCTACACACTGAGAGGGACCTTCTCACATGACCTGAGAAGGAGACCGATAGAATTCAAAGGAGTCAACCATGCATTCAGAACAAGGCGAGAGGCGCTGGAGACGTAGCTCAGTTATCAGAGTTCTTGCCTAGCATGCATGAAGCTCTGATTTCGGTCCCTAGCATTGCATAACCAAACATAAAATTTGGGCCCCAGGTGCTAGAGGCAGAGTGATCCTCCTCAGCTGGATAGTGAGTTCAAGGACAGCCTGAAATACACGAGTCTCTAAATATACTCCAGAGCAAGGAGAGGCTGGTCCAGCAGAGGGAACAGCAGTGCCAGCATCCTGAGGTAGGCAGAGCTTGGTGCATTCTCAGTGCAGTCAGAAGGCACTGGGTCCATGGTGACATGAGCAAGAGGACCTTCTAGGGGTCATCAGAGGCACTGAGCCCTCAGTGACATGAGTGGGATGCCATGAGGTTGCAGAGGGAAGCATGGGCCGGGTTGGCCGTGCTGATGCTGATGAGCTAAGAAGGTAAGTGTGGAATTTATTCACAGTGCAGTGGGGAGCCATTGAAAGTTTTTAAGCAGGGAAGTGACACGATCCGGTTTGCTCTTGGAAGAGCTCACGGTGGCAGCTGAGAATGGGAACGCTTCCCTTTGAGCAGCAGCACAGTTGAAGGATGTCTGTGGGACTCATAGAGAGATCCTGGATGCTTTTATGGATACCGCGAGATGCTGTGTTACCAGAGTTGAGATTGTGTTATAAGTATTCCTGACTTGTTTAGTGTTGTTCGGAGTCTTTGAATCCCTTAGTGTGCCACAAATATGTCTGGCATAAATCTCATCCCGTGAACTCAGGTGTGCAAAAAAATATAAATTTCTGTTTCTTCTCTGAAACATAAGCCAGAAAACTGAGTTATCCTCCAATCCCCCTCTGTTCTCCATCTTTGTCCTTACACCACCCCTGTGCCCATCCATGCTGCATAAAATCCACTAATCAATCCTGTTTGGTCCATCAAAGCCTATTCAGCACCGGCTAACTACTCCATCTTCAACAGCATGGTCCTCAGCTAAACCTCATCAGAAGCTAATAACTGGTGTCCCTCTCCACCTCACAACTGTAGTCAGAACACCCTTCGCTTAGCTAGAGTAATTGTTCACAAATGAACCTTAGGTTAGGCTTTTCCCCAGCCACAGTCCAGATCCTTTCCCTGCTCCGTTCTCACTTTTAGCTTACCTAACCCCTATGGCTCCCATTGACCCTTCTTTGCTGCTTGACTTCTTTGCTTTGTTTTCTCCTCCTCACCCAGCATATTCTAGATACAATGGTGGCTGTTGGGTGCCTTTGTCAAGCCAATTTCTTTCTTCCCATGGAGCTTTAATGGCACCATCAAATCTTTGCATAGCTGGCTCCTTGTCCTAATTCATGCCTCTACTTGGACACCACTGCTCTGAGGTCATCCCTGACCAACCACTTAAAATAGTCACTTACTCATCCTGCTATATGATATAGAGTCTTGCCTATGTCATAGCCCAGGCTGGCCTCCAAACCATAATCCTCCTGTCTCAGCCCTCCCTCCTAGTGCTGGGATTATAGGCATGTGCCACTTTGCCCAGCATTCTTCATTCTATTTTCCTCTCTCCTGGAAACCATTATTAGATGACACTCTGATTTTCATATCACTCTGCCCCTTTTTCTGCTTTAAGATCTATGTGACCCAAGAGGAAGTCCTTTCCCTGGTTACTTCAACATTGGATTTCAGGATCTGTGGACCCAATTCGTTCAATATCTAGGCTGCATGCTTGCATTTTCTCTTGCCCATGGACAGGTCTTCTGCTGAGATTCAATAGAATCTGAAAATGCTGTCTCAGAGTCTGAAGAACCCCAGTAGGGAATGAGAATGAAAAGGAAGAATAGACCCCCCAAGGGGATGGCCAAGCAGCACTGAGGCCCACGAAGCTAGACAGTAGGCAGTGGTCCACACCACTGTATGAGTTTTCAAGAAGCGATGGGCAAGTTGGATGTGGAGTGGAGAAATGGCTGGTGAATTTGACTAGGGTTGGATTAGGGCATCCAGTGAACTTGGCTATGGTAATAAAGAATCTAGAGATGCTGGGAAGGCCGATGCCTGCTGCAATCCACAGAAGCTGGCATGTAGCAGGTGGCTAGTAAAATGTATTCAGTGAAAGAGTGAGACTTGTGCCTAGACAGAGTTAGGAAGAAAGGCTAACAGGAAGGGAGACACCACTTGGTGGGAAAGGAGGACTCTATAGAAGCCTGGGGATGAGATATGAAAGGAAACGTCAGAGTGTTTTAAATGTCAGGAGGGGTAGATTGCAAAGTGGAGCGGTTTCTTCAATGCTGAAGAAGAAAGGAAGAGGAAATTCTGATAGGCTGAGGCCAGTGGGAAGTCTTGTCTTGTATCATCTTTGACCTTTGACTTATGTAACCTGGGCTGGCCTTGAACCTTCAACCCTCTGCCTCATCCTCTCAGGTGCTGAGGTATAGGGGACCAACACAGTACTCAGCCTCATGTAGGAGTTTTAAAAATTAAAGTTTTAGGTCTGGTACTGTGATGTACACATATAGTTACTCAAGAAGTTGAGGGTTATTTCAGCTCAGGAGTCAGGCTGTATGGGCAGTGTAGTCAGACCTCTAACTCATAGAAAACAAAACTGAGACACTCATCGCGTGTTCATGTGCATGTGTACATGTGCTTGTGCGCGCGCGCACACACACACACACACACACACTCACAGCTTTTTGAGATGTGATTTTCAGATCATTATACTCTCCCCATGAAAATGACACAATCCAATGGTTTCTAATTTGTCATGTCACGCCGATCAGCGCAGCCTTAACATTGCCACCACCCAAGAAACTCCGTAATCACTCACAGTCCTTTCTCATTTCTTTCCTCTCTAATTATATTTTTAAGCCAGCCTCGTATTTACATGGCTCACAATTAAAATTACATTAAAAGGATGAACACTGGGAAGTCTTGCGTCCATCCAAGTTTGCCCACTTCTGTGGCCCCTTGCTGACTCAGCCTCCATATGTGAACTTTCACTAATTGAATTTGCTTCTTTCCAGTCTCCCTGGGCTCATTTACCATTCTTATTTTTGTCCTTGTTAACTCAAAAGTCAGTGTACCGTGCACATGCTTTTGATCACTGAACAATATAGGCTGGAGAATTGGTGGTGGAAATGGAAGTTCCATGGGGGCTTCTGGAAAGAATTGAGGTTGGGGTGGGCTTGGGGAGTGTGGTGGGAGAGTGGATCATTGGGGGATAGTGAGCAAATAAGAGAGAATAGATCATATGTTTCCATGGAAACTGTTATAATAATTGAGAGTTCTCTCGCAGACTGGGGATGCAACATTAAATAAATCGCAGGCAGAATAACAGCCCATCATGAAAGCAAAACAGAATCACAAACACCTCTATGATCATTTAAAGCAGAGTAATCCTTTGCCACTTTCATGGTGCCAACGGTGGTTTGGAATTAATGCAGTTTTGTTTTCCAACGCCGACTTTGAATATTTTGCACAATCTGGCTAGGAACGTAGCTCAGTCCCCTTAAACAGAAGAACACAGCCAGGAGTCTGCTCTCTCCCTTCAGAAGATGAAAAGAGCCAGCCTTGGGGCTTTGCACCTTCCTCCCCCAGGTCCACAGGATCAGATCTGGCCCAGAAAAAAACGCACTCTCAAGGAGCGCTGTGTCATTTGCAGAGTGATGACAGAAGGTGACACAAACATTTTGTTAAGACCTGTGAAAATGATATAAGGGCAAACGCAAGTGTGAAGCCATTGCGTTCCAGATGTGTTGCTGCGAGGCCATTGTGTTCCAGATGTGTCGCCCAGTCCTGCAAACTTGCAAGAGAGGAGCCATTTGGAGAGTTAACTCATGGTTACCGGAAAGGTTGTCTTACCTGCAGGCCTTGTTGGCATGTCTGATTTACTTAGAGAAAGAGATACCTAGAAGTTCCTCCATATGTGTACCATGTATAAATAAAGAGGGAAGAAATGTACAGTTTACCTTATCATATTAGCATGGCAACCACCCTATCTATACAGTGCCTGCACAGCACAGACACAAGTCCTTTTTAAATAATGATATTTTCTATTTAGTTTTTGAAAGTTTTGCACATTTATATTTTATATAGTATATATTGATCGTATTTGTCTACCATTACCTTCCTCCAAATGCTTCTAGTCTGCCGTCTAACCCCATCTTCATGTTCTTTTTGTTGTTATTAATAACCTCCTCCCTCCAGTGAACATTTCCCACGTTTGGAGGGCCATCCACAGGTGTAGGAGCAGCCTACCAGGGGCCACGTCCCCAAAAGAGAGTGAATCTCCCTCCCTCAGCTGCCACCAGCTGCCAGTTGCTCCTTGTTTAGAAATCGGGCTTTGTTCCTCCATCCCTCCCCCCCATCCTTGCTGGTATTGTGATTGGCTTGATCTTGTGTAGATAACCACAGCTTCTGTGGGTTGATGTATGCAACAGCCACGCCATGTCCAGATGTGAGTGTTTCCCAGTTGTCTTCCACATCGACTGGCTCTTACATATTTTCTGTGATGTTCCCTGAGCCTTGCATAGGGAGGTTGATACAAATGACCCATGCATACCTGAGAACTCAGTTACTTAGACTCAGCACTTTGGCCAGTTACAAGTCTCTGCATTAGCCAGTAACTACAGAAAACAACAACAACAACAACAACAACAACAACAACAAAAACCTTTAACAAAATCTGAGAGCTATATATGACTCTAGGTATAAATACAAATATTTAGAAGGCAGTTTGACAGTGTGAGCATTTAGCAAATTATGGACTTTTGATCAGATGAAGCTGGACTCAAATCCAACCAGAAAGCAGTTGG